GACTCCGTTTCAGTGGCCACCGTTGGAAGGCCTGAAGGACCAGGTTGAGGACAGATTGTCCTGGAGAAAAATCTGTCTATCTGGTGGCTAATAGTTGACGCTGACTTTATGGCGCGTAATCAATAATCATAAACCCCATTAGACAACTGAAAGGACAGCATTCACGCAAAAATATTACGTATTCTCCCAACCGCACAGAAACACAGGGCCAGAGATGTATACATATGGATTGTAACACACACAGTTTAAAAATAAATGTGTGTGTCTGTGTGAGATATAAATAGATATATTCTTCTTACACAAACACAATTATGCATTACCCCAAAAAAAAGTTCACTCCAACCCCCTGAAAGACACCTCTGCCCCCAGGAACCTGGCTCCCTGCCCAACCCATAAGCAATCACGCCCCATTTCGGCACCTTCGATTCCAGTTGGACACCTTGACATTCCCAACTTGAGCAATCTGGTCAACGTCTCCTCCGAAGACAGCTGTACAGAGATCAGGGGAAAGGATCGGACTTGCTCCCAGAACAAAGGGATACAAGACTGCAAGCAAGACCTTACATGCCCCACTGAAATCAGTGGGGTTTACTTCTGAGAAAAGCCAACAATCAGTTGGCCAGGGGAGTATAACCCCCACCTCAGCCTGTCTTCAAAGGTGAGGTCCTATTACCGATTGAATTTACCCTGGAGAATTTTTCCCCCACGCTATTCTCCTCTTCTTTTCCATAATCTTCAAGGGCGACATTCACATGTGTAAAGGCTGGCGAGCAGCAGAGGGTTTATACCCTCCCAGAATACCCAGAAATAAATCTTAAATGTCTAGGAAAACACGCCTGCCCGTCTTCTCATCAGAGACTCACCCAAGATGGGCTCGACTATATTCCATGTTCTGCTTCTGCACGACACGCTATCTGCCAGGCACAACAACTGGATTTGCACACTAAGCTACTAGAGAGTTGGCTGGCTGGGGGTTCCCTGTGCTGTGAGGATGCAGCCTCTGAGTGACCTACTCTGCGTAAGGGGGATGAGCCCACCCAGACAGAGAAGAGCACGGTAGCGCACTGAATGGGCCAAGCGGGCATCTGTGAAGTCCGCCCTATTGAGTTCAGTAGGAGAGATGAAAGGATCACAGCCCAGCGTGTCAGTCCCAATGCAGTCCCTGTAAACAAGGTGCAGTGTGCATATAGATATGGTTAGAGCTAAGGGCCATGGCAGACACCCCTACCTGAAATGTGTTTTTTGGGGGGGGGGATGAGTGGAAAGAAACACTAGAGAGCAAGTACTTGTTCAGAAAGGATCCCTGCGAACGTTTCAGGGGGGAGACCCCATAAAGTTTGTCCTCGGAGGGGGGTGTCTGTTGGTTTCATGCTTGGCCTCAAGAGATGTGGGGGAATTGAAGAGAGAGGGTGCTGAGCCTGGAGCAACTCCAGCACAGCGGGGCTGGTCGGGGGACACCAGCCTTCCCGGAGCGCCTGGGGTGGGCATAATTGGTGCACATGCCGTCTGAAAGGGGTACAAAAGGCGGGCAGCTGAAGCTTTGTTCGGTGCAGCCCCGGGAGTGTGCGGGGGCGGCCTTTCCCAGCCGGGCCGTGATGGACAAAGCGCCTTTCTGGCTTGGGGTGGGGAGCCCGCCGCTTGGTCCAGGCGGGCCGGACGGCGGCCTTGGGAGCAAGGTGTGCCTTGGCTGAGGGGCACCCCCCCCAGGGCGATCCTCAGAGCCTTGGCTCTGGGAGGGTCTGCAGGGGAGGCGGGGGAGAGGTGGGAAGGAAAGGGGATGGGGCGCGGGGAGGAGAAAGGGGTTGGAAAGAAGGAGAGCAGAGAGAGGGCAGGAGGAGGTAAATCAGCAAGGGGAAGAAAGAGAAAAGAGGAAGGAAGGAAGGAAGGAAGGAAGGAAGGAAGGAAGGAAGGAAGGAAGGAA